CAGTTTAAAAAATAAGTTTTAATACAAGCTGTAACTATTTTACAACAATTTAAAAATTGTTTTATTCTTAGTTATTTTATAAACAATTTTAAAACAATGTTAAAATTGTTTACAATCCTATTTAACAATTGTTTGTGTAGTTCTTAACTTTCAACAATATATTATCATCTTTCTTTTTTTTATTATCTTTTCTCAGAAGCATAAATGAGTCTTATCTCTATTTCTGTCTGTCTGTCTGTCTGTAACACTCAAAATGGCATTTTACGCTATCTTCTCCGTAAAAACGAGAGTAACTAACAAGATCCAAGTCATTTTAATATATTCACTGGATTGGCGAGAGTGTCTTTAGTCATTAAAATATGGCCTCACTACTTTGTAAATAAAATTACGGACGTTCAAAAATGCAGTTTTGTGCGATTTTTGTCAAATTTTCGTTCAATTTTTATCACATAATCGTCTATGAAATAACGAACAGCTGTTCGGATCAAGATAATTTTTTCTAGCTGTCACTGATATGTTTACAAATGTTGTTTACAAATACCGCAACCATTTCGAAGTAGTAAAGGCGAGCAGTCCGGAGTGTGGGAACTGTTTAAGACGATTAGATGAAGGTATCTGCAATCCCAAAATGCTATGGGATGAGAGGGAAACAGGTCCATGACGTAGGAAGTGGTGAAGGAAGTAGTAAATGCGAGCAGTCCGGAGTGTGGGAACTGTTTATGACGATTAGGTTAAGATATATGCAATCCTAAAATGCTATGGGAAGTGAGGGAAACAGGTCCGTGACGTAGGAAGTGGTGAAGGAAGTAGTAAATGCGAGCAGTACGGAGTGTGGGAACTGTTTATGACGATTAGGTTAAGGTATCTGCAATCCAAAAATGCAATGGGGAGGGAGGGAAATAGGTCCGCGACGTAGGAAGTGGTGAATGAAGTAGTAAATGCGAGCAGTCCAGTGTGTGGGAACTGTTTATGACGATTAGATTAAGGTATCTGCAATCCTAAAATGCAATGGGGAGGGCGGGAAATAGGTCCGTGACGTAGGAAGTGGTGAATGAAGTAGTAAAGGCGAGCGGTCCGGAGTTTGGGGAACTGATGATGACGATTAGATTAATGTCCATCTGCAATCCTTAAATGCTATGGGATGGGAGGGAAACAGGTCCGCGACTTAGGAAGGGGTGAAGGAAGTAGAAAAGGCGAGCAGTGTGGAGTGTGGGAAATGGAAACAGTTTGTAGCAGTTAGAATAATGTATCTGTAATACTGAAATGCTATGAGAAGGGATGGAAACATGTCCACGACACAGGAAATGGTGAAAGAATAAGCAAAGGCTAGCAGTGCGGAGTGTGGGGAATGGATTCATGTATTTGCAATACTAAGACTGCTTTCAGAGTAAACTAATGATTTTCCCCCGATCAAAGCTCGGTCCCCAGGTACTTAAATTAAATCATGTAAACTTTGGAAGCATGCCAGGCGTAGCCCTTTGTAAATCAGCCTGTGGGGCAGAGCCCTTAGGAAATTCGTCCATATCAATACTTTTCGGCAAATCTACACACTCTAAGCTTTATTTTGATGTTCCATATGCCTATATTTTTATTTGGTAAATTGCCTTAACCGTTTACATAAAATTTGATTTTATCACTTTAATAATATAATAGATTTCTCTTATAACGTCATCTCCATTTTAGGAAGTCACACGTCAGTAAATAAATTCTTATCATGAACAAGCTGTGGGAGTAACTATGATACTTTATTGGTAAAAAATGTATAACGGTCCAGCACAACTCTGACAACTACAGGGATTGTTAAAACTGAATTTCACTAAAAAGAAGCCAGGAATATTGTATACCATTAGCGTCAGTATTTTATTCCAAAACAGATTAGTTCAAACATTTTTCTAAATAACAGAAAAATAATCATCTACAAAGGGGTTTCATTATCGTACATAAAAAATGAAATTCTCCATTATTTTCATAACAGTGATTTTAAAAATCTATATATACTAGGTTTGCTTTCATAGCAGTGAAAGCCAGTTGAGCGGAGCGATCATGTTTCATAGTTTAAAAAATCAATTGGCCTAAAAAACAAAAACGTTTATAGATAAAATGATATAATACAACTATTTTATCAATTTAACTTATCAGTTTGTATCAGAACTATCAACATCCAATACAAGTTTCATAACTAAAGATTTGGACATTACATACATATCCGTTGTATCGGCATTTTTCCTGGGTTTGCTTGCTAGTCATCTGGTGAACCCACAGTTCTGGTTGATCCCGGCCTTGAACCTAAACCAATCAACATTCTCTCAATCTTGGGCAGATTTTGGAATCCAGGCAGAAGTAATCCTGCATTATATACCCTAATTCGTTCCCAACACAAAAATCAATACAAGTGAGTTGTCAAAACGATGATAACTTAAAAAATATTTCAATTTTTTTAATAGGTTGGGAAGTATATAGAACGCGTTGTTTGAACTCAGTGGTAGAACGGGTGTTTTGTTGATAATAGCAAAAATAAACATTCACATTTTTGTTGTTACATTAACATTATTCTAACAATTTAACAATATGCTTTATTAGTTAAATCAGCTTACGTTTCCACTTGAAAAACAAGCATTAATTACGGGTTACATTTCACAATACTTTAAGAAGATTACTTGGACTGTTTTAAGTAAATAATAAGAAAGCATGTTCGTAATAGCCTATTTAGATAAAAAAAAATATTGATTTGAGAATACCTAGTTATTTAAAACTGCAGATTCATGTAGTTGATTCCCAATAACATAAGATAAATGTTATTTGTTATAACCTTATTTAGCTACGTAAATCGAATCTGAAAATACTGTACCTATTCGATCAGTGGTCGTTTTCAAATTGCGACGTAAATGTAAACTTAACACTTTCTCCGTATTATCTGATCAGTGGTCATCATCCGGATTTCTTTCCTTTGTGCTGTGTTTAGGTCGTGGCTTGATTTTAACATATGCTATGATTCTTTGTTTTGTTTACATTTACGTCATTATTTTGTAACCATCATGGGCAACCCATAAAGCCAATGTTAAAATTAAAAATAGTTATTTTTAAATTATATAGGCCCTAGGCATTATCAAAAATTCAAATTGGTTACGTCTAAACCTTACAAACATTTGTCAAAAAAAACCTTGGTAAGTTTGGCTAAAATATGTTCAGCCGTTATTGAGTTAAAGTGTTAGAAATATTGTGAAGTCAATCCCAAAGAGCTACGCTTCACTCAGCTCAATTATAATTTCAAAAGTACTTATTTTGTCGGTACACCATAACTTCCTTAATATTTCACAAATTTTCATAAACTAGGGGTCATTTTAAAGCTTTTTTACCCACTACGCTAGGAAAGTATGCAAGTCACTAATTTTTCAGTAGACTAAGCGAATTTCCATTTACCTGGATGGATTAGTACTAAAATATTCCCTAAAAATTGTCAGATTTATTTCCTATTTAATTAACATTATTATTAGTGAGTAATTAGGTTTGCTGCTACAGGGAAGATATTGAGATGTGTTGTTTTTATGACAATGTCCATAGCTTAGTATTAAATAAAGAAAATTTCCAAATTTGGTTTAGATATATCCATAAACAAGCAAACTACAATAGTTTATTTATTTTCCATAAGAATAACATGGGAATTTAAATTTAAAATTTTTTAAATTATCTCCGTAACTGGTTGGCATATAACAACGCTTCACTATGCAAAATTATTTCTTCTTTTAAGCTCTACAAAATTGTTTTTAGAGAAATTAACTATCAAAAATTGTGTTTTTAAGGGTTTTTAGGTGTGTTTTTGGCCTCTGGGGACCTTAACACGAAAAATCGGTCCCGGGTCTAGGTCTTACCATGATATCTGCGGTAATAGCTTATTCCCTATACCCCATGGGAAATTCGCTAAAACAAACGAATACTAATTTCTTAAATCTGAGTGTTTTGTTCATGACGACAAATTTAGTCTGTGATTTCTAAGATAAATAACCCCGGAGATGAAATTAGGTTATTCAATTTATAGAAGTCCAAACAAGAACAACTCAAAAGTAAGTACCGCATGGATTCTTTAACTTTTATATTTCTTTATTTACGACATAGCCTTCATTTGACATATGTACCAACCATTCTACGTATAATTAAGAATTCCATCTTCAAACATTACCTATCTCTTTTCTTTACTACAGCTTTCAATAAATGATCATGTTGTGTCAGATTTACTACCGACAGGAAACGGTTTACATCAGCCGTTTGGATTCGGTTCCGAGGGACGTAGAACGCTCTCTGTTATGTCCATTAGAGTTTTATTTCAACTCATTGAGCCCTTTAGGTTCGTCACCTCATAAACCCACGCTAAATAGAACTCTATTATCATGTTTGAAGAGAAACTTAAGCAGAGTCCACGCAATAGTCCGTAATCCTTTCAAACTGACTAAGGAGAAGGTATTTCCCGTAAAAGTTATCTTTTCCATGGCTTTAAATAGGGCATATGGACAGAGGCTAACGAAGGAAGGTTTGTACGCGGCGGAGCACGCAATTTTACACATTGAGTTATTTGTGGCTTTATCAAGGGTTCGCTTTTTCATTGAAAACTATATCTGTGTAAAAAGCAAGTTTCAAAGACAAATCGTATATGGCAATATTATTACTTTAAACACAGTGTTCAAAGAGGTCCTGTAAACATGTAAAATCGTTATACATAAACTAAACATTGTTTTGAAAAAAGTTAATTGTATAAAAAGTAAACCCACATCTATTCCTGAAGTAGGGGCCTACACTCAAATCAACGATTCACTTACAGGCAGTTTTAACTGTATGTTGTGTACTCAAATAAGTGGGATATGAGAAGGATTCAGTGTGAATGCTTCGCACGGGTCAGCTAGTCTTTTCAAAATTGAGATTTTTTTAGTAATAGAGGATAGTAGATATAATAGGTACTAAGATTAAGATTATAATAGATAAGTAAGGGTTTAGAAAGAAGTCTTGAATTGACTAAAAAATTTAATTGTGCTACAATTTAATTAATTATACTTACAATGATATAAAATTGTACAAAACTTTGTTCGGTAAAAACCAAATCATTGAGTAGCTTACAAACGATATCATATAGAAAATAAAAATATACAAGTTACACACAAAGACATTTTGGAATCCGTAGAGTCTACATTGTTCACTATTTAGTTTGCATACATATTATTTTTTATTGATTTTAGTACAAGTGATTTTGTGTACAGGTTCCATGTTTTTGTTCAATTGTATCTAGTTAAAAGCAAATAAATCTAGTTCATTAGAGAAACAATGCTGAAAGATATTTGGGTGAGAAATGCTTAACTAAAAAAAGATTCAATAGAATATACAGACATGCAAATAACTATATACGTTACAAACGTTATTAAAATAAACTTAATGTGAAATAAAAAACATATAAATATCATATACACAACAAATATGTTAAAATATTATTAAAACAATATTACAACATTTAAAACACATATAATTGGACGGAGTTAAATTACTAAAATATAATCATAAAATATTAAAATTGAACTTATAAAACATTATATCACCTAAAAGAACTCTATAAAATACATAAACAGGAATTGTATCACAAAAGTGTGCTATGAATACTGTTATCAGTTTTCAGATTAAAATAATATTTTTGTAAATGTTGAAAATCCAAATGGAAAGTTACAATGACAAGTTTAACTCCATAACCTTAAAATGATTCAAACTACACAAGTTTAAAATAAATGCCTATACATACATGTATGTCAACTTCAAAATTTACAACAGATGTAGATCTGTGGTTTATTGGCCAAATTAAAGTATATACTACTAGGGAACTAGGCTTTACAGAATTACAGACACTACATATCTTGCTATAGAATTATATGTAAAAAACCATTAGAAAGATTGATAACAAAGTTAACACAAACTATATTTCAAAGGAAATATTTTGTAACCTTCAATTATTTGGAATTTTTCTTAACTGTTTTGCTTTTAAATTACTACTACCAAGGAATGCAACAACTGCTATTTAAACAGACACTTAAAATGTAAAATAGTTACACTAAATACGGAAATGTTCACATTTGTTGGGTATTTGTTCAAGATAAATTACAACCACTAACAAGAAATGCAATGTAAAAATACGCAACATAACTAACTCTGTGCGTTTGGAAATATGCAATTTCAAGCAACAAAATCATCATACGCAAAACTTAACCAACGTGAAGTACGAAACCAAGCTTTATAGCAAAGCTTATTTAACAGTGGACGGGTTATAAACAATTTTAAAACATAAAAGGATAGAATATAAAACTATTAAAACACAAAGTACAAAATAACAGACATGTTAAGATATGATCGGGATTGGAAATACGAATATGACTGTGTAGTTGAAGATGAGATTTGTAAGGCACTATGCTATGTAGCTCCCCCCTCCACAGCGACTGTCGTCTGCGCCTCGCTACTGCGTCTAGCGGCCTAGCAACCACAAGAGTAGAGCAGCGGTCACCAGACCTAGACTCGAGCTCAGACTAGAGGCTCCCGCCAGTCTACACTTGAACATATCGTATCTGCAACGAACAACCAGAGCTTTAGAAAATATGACACCGTATATACTTTTTTAAATAGATGTACAGTATGTTATTGATTGACAAAATATGAATTGGAGTCACTGCGAAGGAAAATAAACTTGCAAGAAAACATCAAGATCAGATTGCTCAATTCAATTAAAATATTCTTTATTTATACATTTGTACAATGGTACAACAAATAGCGTCAAAGTTAGAAATAGTAATGACAATAATCCTATATATATAAACAGTTATGCTAATTTTGTCTAAAATAAAAGTAAATTGGTTAATGCATGATTGGTTATGAAATTAATTTTTCAATCAATTGGTTTGATGTTTTACTCATGAACAATTAATCTAAACTCTGTGGTTTTCGAAAAAATCTGTTAGTGAATATGGAGCTAATTTTACAAAATATTCCTTTAAGTTATTCTCATATTTACTTATGTTTTGTTCACCAAGAAATTATCTTGGTAGATGAAACAAAAATTTAGTTCCCACATATTGAGTTTTCTTTTTGAAAAATTCTAAATTGTGCAGTTCTAGCGGTCTATTCAATCTGGTGTTGTACATGTGAATGCTGTTTACAAATTTTTGATTTTCTAGATGCTTTACATACATTACAGTTTCTACAATGTAGAGAACATAAACAGTTAGGATGTTTGTGGAAATAAATAAATGTTTAACAGATTTACCCCTTTTAAACTTATACATAATTCTTAACGCGTTTTTTTTTGTTTCCGCAATATTTTTTCTAAATTTTTCTGAGTTGTTGCTCCCTCCGTAAATGTTTATTCCGTAGGACAGGTGAGAATTAATTAAATAATAATAAAATGTTTTTAATGTTTCTAACTAACAAAATTAAACCTGTTGACATTTTGTCTGAGTAATAAAACGTTGCCCAGCTCAGATTAGCGTCAATGAAAAGTCCTAGAAATTTTGTAACTTCTACATGGTCTAATTGTTTGTCATCTAAATAGATTTCTGGTTTCAGTTTGACCCTTGCTTGTTTCGTACAAAAAAGATATGAAAGTGGATTTACTTGAATTAAGAAGACGGTTTACCATCAAGGAATTTTTTTATAATTGGGAGACTAATAAATGATGCAATTTCAATACTCTACTTGGAATCCCCTGTCACGACAGTGATATTAGAGTCATCGGCACATAAACATAAGTTACTGTTTACGGGTTGTAAGTCAGGTAGCCCTTTATGTAACACAGAAACAATAAAGGTCCTAAAATTGACCCCTGTGGTATTCCGTGTTTAATTTTTAAATTTTGAGAGTTAAACTTCCGTATATAGTCATAGTGATTTTTTTGCTATTACTAGGCTACAACGTAAAACAACATAGCCTCCTCTAATACAAGGCCGCATCGAGACAAGTGGCAACGCCGCAGTCCCGGCCTACCGAACAGCTGCTGCACTAATTAAAGGAGCTTCTCCCCAACGTTTGTGTAAGCAATGTTTATGTTTACACGTCTGTTATCGTCATGGCAATACACCGACCGATGCGACGTTGCCAAATGCCAACACCGGCTTATTTACTCTAACAAAAATAACTATAGCATAGCATTTAGATTTTCTTTGCATTTGCATTGACAAAGGCATTGTTAAAGCCGGAATTCAGTGGACATATAATCCTACATGCTCACTGCTCATAGATAAACCACACATAATAATTAAATATTTAACTGTGTGCACCATTACGTTGTCACCTTAAATTAATTGTGAACGTATCATAGAGTGCAGAGTATTTGAATAATTAATAAACATAGACGCGACATTAATCATTAATAAACATTACCGTGTCCATGTTGAAATTTCAGACGTCCACAAGCTATAGAGTTCATTTAATTAACTTTCTTCTTCTTCCAATGTAAAGTCGCGCTTCTATGAAAATGGTGAGGGCGATATGATATTGCAACTAATGGCAAACATTTTTAGCAGATACTTTGTTTAAAACTGCAGTCGTCAAATAGAAGGATGCAGTATAAATATCCACGCATACGAAAAAACCTGATGCTAAAAGTAACAACTTAATCTGTGACTCAGCAGCTCGTATAGTCTGTTGTTTTTTTACGATACTTATGTAACAGAAAAAGTTGCCCCTATTTTATTTCCTATTGCTTCAGTATTAATATTTCAACATTAGGCTACATACTTGATACTTTAAACCAATAAGAATACACGTTATACGCGCAAGAAGGTATTTTAAGATTCTACATTAAAACATTACAAGCTGCTACACCCGCGCTTTGCAACGGGAAGAAATTGTGACCTAAGCAGCCATGACAGTGTTCAAGTGGAGCTGACGTGTGTTTAAAAATACAGCAACTCTATGATTTAATTTTTAAAGATAATATAAGAATTGAAAAGGCAAATGAAACTGTGATCAATACTCTACTTATACTACCCTTCTTTAACCAACACAACCCGCTTACTAAACAATGCACATTTTTTCCTTAATATAAACAAAGCATCACATAATATTTTTCCAGTAAATAAACAAACTCCAGTTAATTGCATTGACCAGCTGTTTCATTAAATAAATTAAATTAAATCATTCCAACTTTGGAAGCATAACAGACGTAGGGCCTAGCCCTTTGGAAATCGGCTGTGGGGCAGAGCCCATACGACATTGGTTCATACCAATAATTTTCGGCAAATATACACACTCTAAGCTCCATTTTGATGTGCCATATGCCTATATTTTTATTTGTTAAATGGCCCTAACAGTTTACATAAAATTTGATTGTATCACTAATCGATTTTTCAAGGTTAAACTATGACGAATTAAAGAACGATAAAATATTGTTTTGACTTTAACTTAATGTTTGGGCAAAAAAAAAAAACACGACCTTGAACAAAAACTGAACTGGAAGTAAATCGATCGACGAACCATCTGACTGGCAAATGTTGAAGCAAAAACACGTTCAGAAGGGCGACGACGTCTATTGAAGTCACCCCAAGTCATTCTGGTTTCAACTCATAATGCGTAAGTAAAACATTCTTTAAATTGATGACCAAGCGCCTGCCCCGCATTCGCTTAACATTTTTGAAACCACTTTTATTATTTCAGCGTAAAAATATAACTTAACCGCGATGCAGGTTTCGTCGATATTCGGAAATGGATAAGTAGTGGCAGTGATAACAAGAACAAGTAAGACGTATACCCAATGGACGTACTAAACATATCACATTCCGATTAAAACTTTGTGACGAGAACAAGCAAATATTTCTTTAGATAATTTATCAACAAATCTTGTTCTAGAAGTAGGCCTACATGAAAAAGTCAACTACTCTAATCATGGGTCTTAATTTTAATTTTGTTATCCCAACCAGTACTTACTGACAAATAATACTGTACTCTTGTTTTCGTAATGATACTTTGTGTTGTGGATACACAATAAATTTAAATAAGTTTGGTATTATTAGGGTTGAGGTATTTAACACGTTGGGTGCTGATGACGGGAATTCCCGCAATTGCTTAACATTGAAATAAATGCAACTTTTATGTTCAAACATGTCGACAGCACAAATAGTGTTAATACGTTTTTCACATAGTCTAATCGTTGAAATTCCAATTCCAATGGATTGTATAAAGGCATACAATAAAAATTCACCCTCCATCAAAAATTTCAATCATCGATTTTTGGAGCCAAAAATAAGATCCACAACACTCGGAGCTATCCAGTTTTGAAAACATTTCGTTCTTTTATAGTCTATGCAAAATGTGAAATTTCAAAGGTTACGACACGGTATATAATACTGTAACGCAAACTACATAAACAATCTTTAAGAAGAAAATCTCTCGACATGAACGTGTCGAAAAATTTCGTGATAAAATACGTTCTTTATGAAATGCTCCGGGTAAAACCAACTCCAACTCGAATGTGGAAAGTGATACTGGGACATTATATTTCAATTTACCGTTAAACATTCAATTCAACTTGGACTGTGCACTGACCAACACAACTATTCCAACCAGTATTTCCACAAAACACCTCTCTTGACTTTCATCTTACAGTGCATGATTGCCTCTAGGTTATGTGTAAGACTAGCGTAGTTAAATCTACAACATGAAATCGGGCATGTTTGAACAGTATTTATGATGCAATTTTAACAAGGTTTATTCAGTAGGACGTAGTGTGTGTGTGTGTGTTTGTGCGTGTAGATTTATAATTGCCGCTAGATTACGTTAAGACGAAAAAAAACCTAGTTAAATTTACAACCCGAAATCGGCCATATTTTAACAGTATTTATGATGCAATTTTAAAGAGTTTTTTCAGTGGGACTTGTGAGCATGTTGTGTAGATAACCTATAATTTCCACTAGATTATGTATAAGAGGGTACAGAATCTGACATATTTGAATAGTATTTATGATGCGATTTTAACGACGTTTGTTCGGTAGGACTAGTGCGCGTGTTATGTAGGTAATTTATAATTATTGCCCGAGATTACGTAAATTAAATTAAAATACTTTTTTATTGAGGCGAACATTAGGACCGCATGGTCCTTTCTTACAGTTAACCTCTTATGTACTAAATATAAACTAAACAATACTACAGTTAACCTCTCATGTACTAAATATAAACTAAACAATACGTTTTCATAACAATTTTTTTAACTATAAACACAATACTGTAATAAGTAAAAACTTGAGTAACAAACCTTGGTCCCTATCATACGCATACACATACACAATCACTCTTTGCCACACCTAGGCCAAACTGGCCAAACGCACGCCAGATTAGGTCATGGTTTTTTTACCGAATAAGACGGGAAAAAACGTAGTTTAAGTTACAAAACGAAATCAGCCTAGAACAGTAATTATGCAATTTTTACGAGGTTTGTTCAGTACGACTAGTGCACAAGCGTGTTGTGTAGACTGTAGAGGATTTATAATTGCCCCTAGATTACGTCTAAGACCGTAAAGAGCGTACAGTACACATTACATTTACAACACGAAATCGGCCATATTTGAACAGTATTTAT